AGCCGAGCGGTCCAAGAGTGAGGCGGTGGCGAACGTGTCCCATGAGCTGCGCACCCCAATCATTGGCATGGTGGGTGAGGGCAAGGCATGGCGGGTGAGAGCATGGCATGGTGGATTAGGGCATGCATGCATGCATAGCGCCACTAGTCAACCGATCTCTGATTGTGCAACTGCATATTTGCATGTGCATGCTGGAATGACTTTTGAGTCGACTCAAAAGTCACCTTATTAGAAAACAGTTTGCACCTGCACAATTGGATGTGCACGCTGGAATTGCTGGAATTTGCTGTCAGCCAATCTTTGAAGGAATTTCCCTTCAAAGTAGATGCTTACTCCCTTGTCCCCCCACAGGAATGATCGAGGAACTGTTGGAGGAGTCAGGCGTGGGTCTGTAACCTGTTTTTGAGTCGACTCAAAAGCAGAGTCCCTTGTCCCCCCACACACAGACATGATCGAGGTGCTGCTGGAGTCGCAATTGCAGGAGAGGCAGCACGCAGACCTCATGCCTGAGGGTGGCGAGGGCTCATGCATGCATTGCACACCGCAGCTGCAATTGCATCAATTGCGACTCAATCATGCCTGTGTGTGGGTAGGGAAGAGGCGGCCTGCAATTGCAGGAGAGGCAGCACGCAGACCTGGTTGATGCGAGGGCGTGTGCGGGCGAGACGATAGACCTCATCAACCAAGTGTTGGACCTCGCCAAGCTGCAGGCCGCCTCTTCCCTACCCCTTTCCCCTCCCCTCCCCCTCGCCTCCTACACAGGCATGATAGAGGAGCTGCTAGAGTCACGGTTGGAGGAGTGGCAGGTGGCGGACTTGCGGGATGCAAGGGCGTGTGTGGGTGAGACGGTGGAGCTCATCAACCCAAGTTGCAGCCCACCCCCCTTCCCCTCCCTCCCCCTCCCCGCCCACGCAGGCATGATAGAGGAGCTGCTAGAGTGCTCATTGGAGGAGTGGCAGGTGGCGGACTTGCAGGATGCGAGGGCGTGTGCGGGTGAGACGGTGGAGCTCATCAACCCTCTCTTGTTGTTCCCCACCCTCCCGCAGGCATGATAGAGGAGCTGCTGGATTCGCAATTGGAGGAGTGGCAGGTGGCGGACTTGCGGGATGCAAGGGCGTGTGCGGGCGAGACAGTTGAGATTATCAATCGAGTGTTGGACCTGGCTAAGCTGCAGGCCGGCTGGCTGCAGCTCGAGACTCTCCCATGCTGCCTGCGGCGCATCGTTCGCGAGGCCACCAGTACGGTTGTTGAGCCGATTGTGCCAGGGAGGAATCTGGAAGGTACGAACGTGCGTGCGATTGAGTCACTCTTCTCCTCTCCCATGCTGCCTGCGGCGCATCGTTCGCGAGGCCACCAGTGCAGCTGTTGAGCCAGTTGTGCCGGGAAGGAATCTGAAAGGTACGAACGAATGTGCGATTTAATTGCTCTTCTCCTTGGCTTCCAAGACGACACGGTTACCGTGTGTGTTTTTTTCTGTTGTTTCTTTGTTTCTTATCAATGCAGTGACAGTCGATGTGGACGGGAGCGTTCTAGTTTTGAGGCGTCTCAAAACTTGTGGTTTTTTCTGTTTTTGAGTCGACTCAAAAGCTTTCTGTTGGTCTCTTTTTTTTTCCCCCTCATTACAGTGACAGCCGATGTGGATGAGAGCGTTCCGGAAACACTGCTTGGTGACCCAAGTCGGCTCGTGCAAGTCATTACTAAACTTGTCGGTGAGTGGTTCGCAGCAAACAGTAAGAGGGTGCTTTTAACCATGAGCTGTGTATTGGGGAATGTCTTTTCAGTTATTCCTGCAAGTCATGGCAGAACTTGTCTGTGAGCGGATCGCTAGAGCAGTGGAAGAGGGTGCTTCTAAGGCGTCTCAACACTTGTGGTTCGCTACTTGAGCGGATCGCTACAGCACAACACAACACAGTTTTGAGGCGTCTCAAAACTTGTGGTTCATGGAAGAGGGTGCTTCTAACCATGAGCTATGTATTTTGGGGAATATTTTTTCAGTTTCTTCTGTAGACTATGGCTAAACTTGTCTGTGAGTGGTTCTCTGCAAAGGCGTTAGGGGGAGTTCCAAACAATGACCCACTCACAGATCGAGGGGGGGGGGTTTCTTGAAAGGTTTCAGTTATTGTTGCACGCACATGTGTTTTCGGTTACGACATTGTAGGCTTGTTGTCGAGAACCTGATATCATCACAGAGGCGAATTCCAACGTAATTTTCCAACAAGAACTTGGACTTGGCCAATCTTTGAGGCGCCTCAAAAAAAGAATTCCAACGTAGATTTCTAACAAGAACTTGAACTTGACCAATCTGAAGATAAAGGAAGAGAATCAGATGGTGTTTCCCCCTCAACCCCCCCCACAACCCCCTCACTTCCCCTCACCCTCAACCTCCACAACCCCCACTGTCGCCCACCCATCACCATACCATTTCTTTCCTGCAGCCAGTGCCATGAACAGCACAGCGACCGGTCACATAGCCATCCGCCTCTGGTGCATCTCTCCTCAACACTCTGAAGCATCGGCTTCGAAAAGGCCTCCTCCCTCAGCCGATGCTGCCACCACGGGAACCACGCAAGCCTCCTCCTCTGAGCCCCCACCAGCGTCCTCAGCGTGGCATCAGCTGGGCGCCTGTGTGCGGCGCTTCCCTCCCACCTGCCTGCTTTGCCTCCCCCGGCGCCGCCCACCCAGCCAAGAATGGTCAGTTTTTGAGTCGACTCAAAAACAGACTCATCCTCCGCCCACCTGGCTGCTGTGCCTCCCTCAGCACCGCCCAGCCACCCAAGGGGGGCCTGTGGGCAACGGTGCAAGGCAGGAGTGTGGGAAGGCGTGTAGTAGAGACGACGTGGGCAATGCAGGGGAGAGGCAGGATGGGGATGGGCGGTTGGAGGGGGAGGTGAGGGAGTGGGTGGAGGGCGCGTGTGCGGCGAGGGAGGAGGGCGAGTGGTTGGTGGTGGTAGCTTGTGAGGACACGGGCGGTGGTATTCCACCCGAGGAGCTGCGGTGGGTGCTGGATCCCCATGGTCTTGCCGGCCATTCGTCGCACGACATGCACGGCAACGGGCAAAATAAAGTCATGGTGAGTGTGTGGTTGTTGCGTCGACTCCAAAAACGCATTATAGAGTCATTGTTTAGTGTCTCGTTCATTGCTTCAGGCTTGTGCTGTTGCATATGTTTATTTTCAACAGTATCAGCATCAGTACATACTACAACAATGGACGGCTTTGTGCATGTGAGACCTTGACATTGCCATTAAAATTTAATTCAATCTGGGAATTCTTGGCTGTGATGTGTCAGGAGAGAGTACGGTCGCGGGGGAGGGCAGACCCATGGAAGGGCCTGGGGAGGTCGGCATCGTTGCAGCGCGATCGCAAGGCAGCTGCCGGGCCTCGCTGGACTCCCTACCCTGTCCGCTTCCTGCTCTCCACCTCTCTTGTGAGCTTCCTGCTCTCTACGAGATCCCTTCGCTTTCTTGCTCTCAACCTCACTTGTGAGTTCTCTTCACCCCGTTTACTACAACAGCAGCTTGATAGAGCTCAGGAGCACGATTTTAACGCACCAAATGCATAGAACTCTTAGTCATTCAAATGCATTCATGTGTTGTGCTCACTGGTATTATATGCTACAAGAACGCACACATATAAGCATAGTGAAGTGTCGACCCCGTCACACGCGACTCGGAACGTTTTCAGAGCTTGAGTTTTCGTTGACGCGGACTTTGGAGCCCTTGTTTAGCAGATGTAATGCGGGTGCAAATTAAATTGGCCACAGCACTTTGATGTCGAGTGTTCGTACCATACACAACCAGCACATTTCTTATTGAATCTCTGATGATTCTTTCCTGAAACACTTTCATGGATTTAAAGGTCGCCAGTTCGAATCTCGTGTGCACCGTAAAATATGTCCTTGCGAAAACTGTCCAGAACGACACTTTCGGGTCACGCCGAAGGCCACTGGTTCGAATCCCCGAGTCGGATTTTTCTTGCTCCTGATTTTTTTTTTTTTTTCAAAACTCCCTACCCTGTTCGATTCCTGCTTTCCAATCCAATCATCCTACAAGTTTTTTGTTCACGCTACTCCCCTCTCTCCCTGCAGGTGGCTGAGATGGGGGGAGACATGGCAGTGCTGTCAGACGCCTCCACAGGCACCACCATTCTGCTGGCACTGCCCTTGGGGGGAGGGGAAGGCTCCAGCAGCAGTGGGAGCTGGGAGGGGAGTGGGAAGGAAACCGGGGAGTTAGGAGGGGCTGGTGAGCAGCGTGTGGGGCGAGAGGGCGGGTCACAGGGAGGCAACGCGGGGCCAGCCAGTGCTGCCACGATTCTGCCTCACGCGGCTGCTGCTGCTGCAGCGGCGCAACCAGATTCGCAGCAGCGGCAGACAGCAGGGGCGCGAGCGCTGGTGCACGCACGCACGTTCCCGCAAGCGGAGATGGACAGGGCTGCTGCAAGCGGGGAGTGCGGGAAGGGCGCGGGGGAGGCGGAGGAGCTGGTGAGAGCAATACTGGCGGGGCGGGGGGTGGCGGTGGTGGATGACAACGCGGTGAACCGCATGGTGGTGCGCAGAACGCTGCAGGGCTACGGGGCGCACGTGCTGCTGCTCCCCTCCGGGGAGGAGGCGCTGCAGGCGCTCTCCTCTGCCTTCTCCTCTCCCACGCCCTCTTCGCCCATCCATGTGCTCCACTCTGCTCCTGAGGCACCTCATAAGGCACTCTCCTCTGCCACGCCCTCTCCGCCCATCCATCTGTTGCTCCTCGACCTCCACATGCCGCCCGGCATTGATGGGTGAGTGCCTTGCTTCACCTTTTAGATTTCTCAAAAGTGAGACATCCATGCCCTCACTCACCTGCCTCTCACCTCAACCACGCCCTCCCTGCCTTTCCACCTGCTACTCCTCGACCTCCACATGCCGCCCGGCATGGACGGGTGAGTGCCTTGCTTCACCTTTTAGATTCTCAAGGGTGCCTCACCTGCCTCTCTCCTCTGCCACGCCCTCCCTGCCCATCCGCCTGTTGCTGCTTGACCTCCACATGCCGCCCGGCATTGATGGGTGAGTGCCTTGCATCCCCTGTGGTCCCTCCTTCCTGCTGCCACCTGTTTGCGTTGTTTTGTTTCTTTTCTTCTTTTTCTCTATTTCCATTTTTTGTTCCCTTATCCCTTCTGTCCCCTATTGGTCCGCATGGATACAGATTTGAAACAGCTCGTAGAGTGCGTGACATGGAAAAAGCTCAGCAGATGAAAGTACAAGCAAGTGGAGATATACCGGTACGAGAAGCAGCAGATGGAACTGTAGACGATGCAGGCACGGTAACATGTGTATCCAGGCAGCGGCTTTGCATCATAGCATTGACTGCTGACTTGGATGCAGGGATCAAGAGAGCACGCATGGAGGCTGGGATGGATGGAGCAGTGAGGAAGCCCATAGTGGCACGAGAACTTGCTTTCAGCATTCTCGGCTGCAGGGCTCGTACAAAGCTCCTAGTTAGTGCTATAATTTATATATATATAAAACTGTATATGGATCTCCCTTAATGTAATTCCCTGGAAATAGGCTATAGCGACAAGGTACCGTATACATTATAACAGCATGTGAATACCTCTACAAAACTACATTAGAAACAGCAGCTTGGATCTATGGGGTGGCAGTGGTTGTTGTCCCACGAGGGCAGGCTGGCAGCCTGGACGAAAGAGAGGGGGGAGAAGGCAGGGGTGAGAGCCTTGGAAAGCCAGTCTGCTGCTGTGCGAGGTTGCCAAGTCTGAGTTAGAGCGTATTCCTACGGGGCCACCTCGTATCAAGAATGAAATTGACTTTTGTTTACGGTATAAAACACCTTATATCAAGAATAGACCGAACCAGCGCACCAATGAAAATGCTCGCACACCCAGAAGTGAACGTGCTGATTTTCCGACGCACGGTTCCAGTTGACGCGAAGTCGTCAGTCCAGTGAATGCGGCCGACAAACAGTCATGCGAAACTGCACACGGTGGCAGTCGTGCGCCGCGCGCGAACGTGCAAAGTGTGCAAACTTGTTCATGCTGGGTCGCAACATGCCACATCAGCTGTTGATGGAGTCGCACATGTGGGTTAACCGGCAACTTTTACTGATATGAGGTTTTGGCGAACTTGTCAATTTACAGGCAGGAGTACCATTCTTGATACGAGGTGGCCCCGTAGGAATACGCTCTTAGGCAGACCCGCGGCTCTTGCAGCTGCCTGGAGGTTCGGGAAACAAGTGTGAAGACCAGGCAGGGCGAGGTGTGAAGGGAGGTAGCACGGGAGAGAAATGAACCCCATCACTGATATGACCTTACATTTGATTAAGTGATGATGGGTTGGTTTCTCCAATGTCCCTTTTCCTGATCTTGGCTATAAGAGAAGGGGGCTGGTCACAAATGCACCACCATGGGTTACGTGCCATGTGTTGTGGCCCTCCATTTTTTACACGTTCATAATACAGCTTACCAGGATCACACAATAGAAATCAGGGCCACACAACCAATGCAAACTACAATCACCAAGCACACTACACTGCTGCTGAGGACATTAAGGTCAGCCCGTGCATGTTCCGGATGCCACGGCGCAATGCACGGGGCATGCGATCAATAGCTTTCTTGCACCAGCGAACATCCAACTGTTGGAGCAGCTTCAGCTCGGTCAAATCATCTGGCAAGGCCTCCAAGAGCTCACAGCGAGAGAGGCTGAGTGTCCTCAGCCTGGTCAACTGTGCAAACCTGGGAGGAAGGGAGCTGATGGAAGTGTTGTCAAGTCTAAGCACGGAGAGGCAGGAAAGTTGTGTGAGCGAAGATGGTAGCTGCTGCAGGGCTCTACACTCTGACAGATTAAGCTCGCGCAACCTGGATAATGCCCTGATACATTCGGAGATTGAGGCCAGCTTGGGTGCATGAATTCTAAGCAAGGTAAGCTGTCGGAGCTGTGAAACAGTTTCTGGCAGATTCTCAAGCTCCTCAGTGCAAAAGAGGTGCAGTTGTCGCAGCTGCTGGAATGCCATCTTCATGATCTGTGGGGAGGCCTTAAGCCTTCTACCACGCCGAATACTTCCAGCACGCCTTATGCTGAAGACGCCATTTTGAGGAAGCGGACCCAAGGTGACTGGTAACTGCTCGATGTTGTCTACCAAATCCAGCTTCAAGAGCCTCAAACGAGATGGCAGGAAATTCTCAGGCAGGAGACAGAATTTACTGTTCTCCTCCCATATGAGGACCTCAAGGGAGAGCGGCAGTGACTCAGGAAACACACGCAACCCGCTGCATCCAGTTACCTCCAACTGCCGGAGCTTCGCAAGGCTACTTAGCCTTACTGGCACAGAAGAGAGCTCTTTACAATCCCTTATGATCAAGGTTACAAGGCTGGTGAGCCCTGTAACAGACTCTGGAACTTTTCGAGCAGCTTTACAGTCACAAATGTTGAGATGCTGCAGGTGACTCATAATCTCCAGGAACTCAGGAAGCTTTGGAACTGCGCTAAAGACGAGCGAAAGACTTGTGAGAGAAGTCAGCCGCGTGAATGAAGGGGAGGGTTGTTGCTGCATGCGATTCTGCAAGTAAAAGGTCTCGAGGTTGATGAGGAATCCAATCGTCTCTGGAAGCACTATTGAACGAGAATTCTGGAGTCTCAGAGTCTTGAGAGATGTGAGGTTGCCGAACTCTGCTGGCAGCTCAAAGGTCTCACAGAAACAGTAACGCATGACCAGCCTCTCCAAAGACGTGAGATGGCAGAAGGAGTCAGGTAGCTCCGAGAGAGATACACTCTCCAGCGTCAGTGACTTGAGAACCAGCAGCTGTCCAAAACCCTTGGGCAGGCCGCGAAGCTGGTCGCAATCGATGATGGACAAGCACTCTAATGCAGTTAGGGACGTGATGTTATTGGGGAGCTGGTCTAGCTGAGAGCAAGTGCGAATGGTCAGCTCACGGAGACATGGCAATAGCTCTCCAATGTCATCAGGAAGGCGCTGGAGGTTGGTGGGTCAGTGTCTTCAGATAAGGCAACTGAGCAGCTGTAAAAGTTGCAGCTGGTGGATCATTCTCCAGAAGGGAGCCTCCACCGATGATAGAAAGCTTGGAGAGTTGTGAGATGCGATTTAGGACTGAAAGGAGCTGATGCGTCAATTTTATCACAGAAGCATGGAGAGAAGTGAGAGACGGAAGTCTTGCAAATTCGGAGAGTATGGAGGGCGAAATGTATGTTAGAGAAACTGTGTGGAGATGCTGCAGCTGAAAGAAGGAACCCGGTAACTCAGCATCTTTATGAAGGCAGTGAAGCGAAATCTCTTCCAGCTGAGTGCACTTCAGGAAGAAATTCTCGAGACCGGCTTCAGTAACTGGGTGCTCATCCTTTTTTCCTCCATACTTCGTCGAAGTGATCTTGTGACCCACATGAAGAACTTCCAGGTTAGGCCGTGCGGAAGCAAGGTAAGCGAGGAAGTCGTTGTCAATCAACTCGACACTGCCGTCGCTCAGGTGAAGATTCGTGAGGTTGTCGAAACAAGCCACAGCGTGCATCAGATCTTGACGAGATACGACAAGGTTTTTACGGACTAACAGGCCGGTGACTTGACGCTTAACGAGATGACGCCAGCGACTGCATACGGACGCGATGAGCAAATTGTATGCTGCATCTTCGAAGGCTGGCAGAGCGAAATCATCTGCCTTTGATTCCCAACAAGGAAGCGAGACCCATGGAGATTGGGTACCACTTTGGACAGGAGCGTTTCTACCCTGGAACCATAAAATCCTCGTGAGAAGATCATCCGAAAGTCGATCAATGAGTGAGAGACGCTCCATTAAAGCTCCCAAAGATAGACCGCAACGACTTAACAAGGTATGAAACGGGATCTCGATGTCCAGACCTCAAATGACCAGGGACGTAGGAAAGTCGCTCATATACGGATCTCAGTACCTCAGCTCCTAAAATTCCTCTCTAATACGGATCACAACTGTGTATGCTGACCTGCGGTTTGGAGGTAAGGCGAGTGACGAGTTACGAGCCATGCTTGCGTTGCATGAAGAGCTGCCAATCTCAGTGGGGATTCCTGGGACCTCCAGAAGCTGGGTAATGGCAGACGAGTTTCCCTACTTCAGTACTTTCGAGTTCTTTCATGCCTAACCAGGCGGATTCAGGATGGTGCACTTTCCGTTCAGTAATTGCGGTTGAGTACGATGCTGTACATTTCAAAGCGGTTTTTTGTTTTCACCGCTTCAAACCGCTATTCACCGAACCCTTCTTTCGGGGAGCCCAAGGTTGACTGGGTTTCGTGTTGGACAAGCATTCAGTTGACCGGGCTTGGGCTCCTAGATCCGCTCGAAGGTCGTGTTCGTCGGTCGTTCATGAGTTCAACATTTCACATGCAGGCTTCGAGTGGTCCGAAGAAAATCTGAACCACTGCAACTGAAAAGTCTGGGTTTCAAGTCGGTGTGTGTTTTCCTGTGAACTTGCTCCTCGTGAAAACGAATCGGGCAACAACGGATGGCCGAGTTTGGAAAATAAATCCAGTCAATTACGGTAGTTTCAGTGCGGTGCACAATTTTCTACAGAGGTGAGGACACAAAATCGTTCTTTACCCTTCTTTACCGCATTGCACCGCGCTAAATGAACAGCAAGTGGATAACTATGACCCACTGAAACATATGAAACTCGCACGCCAGTTTTCTGCAAAGGCGGTGTCGTAATAACAACGTTGACCACATGCAAAGAACCTTCTGTACTCCATGAATCCACATGCTTGCTTTTGTAAGCTCGACAGCTCTGGGATTTCTCGTGGCAACATGTAATGTGAATTTTTAGATGTACCCTGACACCAAAGATTCTAAGTTGGAGCAAATTGTTGTCACTTGTCAATAAATTGGATTACCGTACCTACAATTTCCATTCCAAGCAATGCCTTCCATTTGTCATCTTTATGTAGCTGATGTGATGTCCGTCTCTTTGAACAGTTCAACTCCACCATTTACAACACCTTAGAGAGCTCGAGAGGTATCACCAGGCTGCCGCTCTTGAAGGCCCTGCAGGCAGCCCTGGTAGTGCAGCCCGTAGTATCTGCCTCGATGCCTGCCTGCTGGTGTGACCCGGTTTTCTGGTGTGACCATCCTGCTGAGTCATGGGAATACCAACTCACCATGATGCTAGGGAGGGAGCTAAAGCGGAAACACCAGGCTGCCGCTCTTGAAGGCCTTGCAGCCCAGGCAGTGCAGACCAATGGGTGCCATACCCTATGTCATGCTTGCCTGCTGTGCCTCGGCCGGCTAAGTATGGGAGCAGCATTAGGAAGCTAGTGAGGCATCACGAGGCTGCCACTCTTGAAGGCCCTGCAGCCCAGGTAATGAACACCAAGGGCCGCCATAACCTCCTCAATTCCTGAATGCTGTTCCTCTGCTTGCTGCAAGAGATTTGCCTCTACCTCTAGAAGCGCGCAGAGAGCACCCGAGGGGGCTGAGTTTGCACCTATTGGCAGGTTTTGAAATGGCTCAAGTGGGGATTGAAGTGGTGAGGCAGCAGGTGGAATCGGTGTGGTGGCCGTGGTGGAGGTGTTTGTCGGGGTGGAGAGGGGAGAGGGAGATGGGAGTGAGGTGGGATGCAGCAGTCGCACTCTCATGTTGTCTCTTGAGGTGAGAGGAAGCAAGGAGCGGACCTGAGAGGGAGAGAGGGGTGGGGGAGGGGGGAGAGGAAAATGGAGGATATGTAAGATTTGGAGAGAAAGGGCACAAAGGTGGGATGCAGCAAGTGTGCTTGCTGCATTCCACCAGCATCAAAGCGCTTGCCGTAGCTTCCACCCCAAACTCCTCACCTGCTCCCCCCCTCCCCACCACTCACCATATATTCCGCTCTCTCCACCAGCATCAGTGTGCTTGCTGTCGCCTCCACTCCAAACGCTAATCTGCTGCGCAGGCAGGGCGACGCTGCCAGGTCCCAGTTGGGTAAGCCCGCTGCTCTGGCTACTGCCTGGGGGAGAGGAGGGGAGGACAGAGAGGGGAGAGAAGCCAGGGAGTGCTTGCTGTCGCCTCCACTCCAAACGCCAGTCTGCTGCGCAGGCAGGGCGATGCAGCTAGGTCCCAGTTGGGTCAACCCGCTGCTCTCGCCACTGCCTGTAAAACGAGGGGTGGGGAGAGGTAGGGAGAAGGGGCAGGGGTGAGGAGCTGTGAGCCAGGCAGAGCAGTGCTGGGAGGGATTTCTGTTTCGTTTCCTTTTGTTGCTTTAAGCGTCACTCTTTAGAATTGCTGCTCTTCCACTATGAGCGAAGATCCAGGGGTGAGGAGCTACGAGCCAGGCAGAGCAGTGCTGGCAGGTCCCAGGTGGGTAAGGACAGGGGGAGCCTTCAGGCTTAAAGCTGCTGCTTGTGCTACTGCCAAAAGGGAAGACAGGGGGGGAGAAGGGCAGAACAAGAGACGCAGGGAGGACGAGGGCAGCGGCCTTGGGCAGGCGGGCGAGGGGAGAGACGACGTGGCAGTGCAGAGCAGGCAGCAGCAGGGCCAAGCAGGGAGGATAACGCACTAGCACATGCATCCCTTTCCTAGTGCTGTTCACTCACCCGCACAGCAACTTAAGGCAGGCGGGCGAGGGGAGACACGACCCGGCAGTGCAGAGCAGGCAGCAGGCGGTGACCATACCTAGTGAGCAGTGGATGTGCACACCCCACCCCACCCCACCCCACCCCACCCCACCCACCACACCCCACCCCACCCCACCACACTCACCCGCACGGCAGCTTTAGGCAGGCAGGCAAGGGGAGACACGACTCGGCAGTGCAGAGCAGCCAGCAGGCCCAAGCGGGAGGGGTCTGATAGATCATCCGCGTTGGTGCCGTTGAATAGAGTTACTGCGATAAACGGAGGTACGGAGGGGTTCAAAGGGGGTATGGAGGGGTTGAGAGGGGTGAAGGGGGGTTGAGAGGGCACACCGAGATGAGAGGGTACCCGCAATGCAGAGCAGCCAGCAGGCGCAAGGGAAATGGGTCTGAGAGGGCACCTAAGAACTTGCCTATCCCTTACCCTTATTAATATTGCTTCTTTCCATCCCCATCCTCGTTAAAGACTTCTCCGCTACAGTGTATAGCGTGGTGTAGAGAGTGGCCTTGCAGGCGTAGCAGCTCGCTCCCTCATTTGCCACGTACTCTGGCACCTGACCCTCTGTTGTTTCCACCTGAAAGGAAAAGGCAAAAAAGTGGCGAAACAGGCCAGTCAGAGGCAGCAAACAGAGAAGAGTTCTCAACACACACATTCACCGTCACACTCTGTGTTTCAATAGAGACCTGAGATGACCTGCGCAGGGGAGGTTAGAGGACACCACGTGCATTTCTCACAACCCCAGAAAAGGCACACGCAAACGCAGAAGCGTACTCCGAAACTCACATTCCCACTCCCACTCCCTCTCACACTCACACTCCCACTCCCACCCCCACTCGCACTCCCACTCACACAACTCCCACTAAACGATTCGATTAGACCCACCCACCCACCTCCCACAGGGGAATGCCTATGGCTGCTGCCACGTGGCGGGCTGTGGTTAGCTGAGAGGAGGAGAGCGAGGGGCTTAAGGCGATCACAGCGGCTACTGTGGGAGGAGAGTTAGAGTGTGAGTCCGTGTGTGAGGGGGATTGCGAGCGTGAGTGTGAGCGTGGTTGTGAGTGTGAGTGGGAGTGTGACTGTGAGTGTGAGTGAGGACGCGGCGGGTTTGAGAGTGCTCTGTGGAGGAGGAAGGCAGCAAGGGAGGAGTCAACCCCCCCTGAGAATGCCACCAGATTGACACCCGAGGGAGAGGCGAGGGAACGAGTCTCCTGGGAGATTGGGTTTGGGTGGAGGGCATGAGGAAAGGGAGGAGTGGAAGAGGCAATGCGAGCAAGAGAGTGAGTTCGAGAGTGCTCTGTGCAGGAGAAAGGCAGCAAGGGAGGAATCGACTCCCCGTGAGAGTTTGGGATTGGGTGGGGGGCATGAGGAAAAGGACGAGTGGAGGAGATAAGATTAGATAGATCTTTTGCTGCATTACATACTATGCGTCTTCCATTGATGAACTGTTATACGTACTATGAATTACACACCTTTATTAGCTGCTGAAGCAAATCTTCCGCCTCATGTAGCGAAGCTGGTACAGGAAAAACCTCGCTATAGTCACCTCCGTGCACTCCTGAACCTCCCACACTGTCTGAACCCTTCCTTCTCCCTTGATTTTCTCCCTGACGGCCGTACAGATGAGCAGCGGACCGCATTTCACTCCGCATATCAGCCAAAATCGAGGGGGCTGACGTGGATTGTGTGTCAGGTTGTGCGGTTGAGTGCGGCTTTGTGGATGCAACATCTTGATGGCTTCTCCGCTTCTCTCTCCATGCAGCCAACAACTCAGGGAGAGACGGAGGGGGGAGAGGCGCATTGTGGTGGAGAGGAGGAGGAGGAGACGCGGAGATAGAGGGTGAGATTTGAGCGGTTGAGTGCGGTTCTGTACACGGTAGAGAGGGGTGCAGTGCAGTTGAGTGCATTGCTGATGACGGCAGGCTGGAAGTCGAGTCATGGTCTGAGCTGGAGCTTTGAGACTGCGACGTGCAATGCGGCTGATTGCGGTACTGTTTGATAAACAGCGGTTGAGTCCAACGTGGTTCGGGGTGGTGTGGCGGGGTGCGGCGCGGCTGATACCCTGACAGCGAGGACACGAGCGAGACGCGACAAGGGGCCGACGGGACGAGGGGACGCGAGAGGAGTGAGAGAGAGTCATACGGGTGAGCGGCACGAGAAGGCTCGACGCGGGCTAAAACGCGACACCCTGTCGCCGCAACAGGACTCGCGAAGAGCGTCATATCGGTGGGATCAAAGGGCGCGGCGCGGGCCCTCCAGCAGAGCTCTACAGTGTTGCGGGAATTGCGGGAAAAGGGGAAGGGCGAGCGGCGTTGGCAGGAGTCGTGGTGTCGAATTCGCTGCTAGTGGAACGATACACTCCTGCAGGAGACGTGCGAGCGTGGGAGCGTGTGAAAAGACGCGATCTTGGTAGCAAGGAGACGCGAATTTCCGAGTAATTAATAACTCCGAATTCCCCCCCGACAGATTCATGCGCGCGGCTGAGGAATCGCAGCAAGTAACTATGTTATGTGAGTTACCTGAAAGTAGAAGGGTTCTTCTTCTGCCGTCGATAACTCAGCGCACGACAGCAGAAGAGCCTCAATCATGCTTGGATTTAGGGCGTGTAACTTTTTTCACATTTCATCGTCCGGACGGAAGCCCCGTCGGGACATTTGTAGGGTAATTAATTTCGCAGCACCTCGGTTAGGGATTCGCGAGACGCCCTGCGACGTCGCCACCGTCCGGACCATGTCTGACACTTTTCTGTCAAAATTTGGTCCGGACTACCTTGCTGACATCGTCCGAACGGCATATCGGACCGTCCGATTTTTCTGCGCTGTCATTGGCGCACGATTTGCTGAAAATCGCACCAATATCTCGCCGCTAAGTTTTGAAGGCGAACCCTCACGACGCTCTACGATTGCAGTAATGCCTGTTACATCTTGAAATGAAATAAAAAAATATCAGGTTTTCAAAAAGTTTCACATTTGTGGTCCGGACGGGCTGTCGTCCGGACCTGAGTCCCAAACGTCCGGACGGAGCTCTGTTCGGACGTTTTGAGGGCTCCGTCCGGACATTTGACCAAAACGGTAAAAGTTACACGCCCTTACAGTCGCGACAAAGGAAAGGCTTCTGCAGTTTCGCGGTCGTCTTTGCCCCTTACAGAGCCATTCGGTACCCCGTCCAGCAGTTTGTTAGAAAAATGGTGGTAGCAACGCAGTTCCAATCATAACAGATTACAAATATAAGATTTCTGTAGCTGTGTTAGGCTAGGAGGCTAATCATAATGTAGGCAGGCAGATTTCGTAGTCTGTCTCAGCAAGCAACCACATTTTCGTCCCTCATTCCACATTCACAACCTACAACCACATCCAGCCAGCATTGTCAACTCACACAAACAATCATCACCTCACAACTAATAACTTCTAATTGTTAACCCATACATGTCATGGTCCATTACCTCCCGTTCTCGTTCCCTGTCCAGTTCATGCGTGCACCCACCATACCTAAAAAACTGCAGCATCCCGAGCTCAGGAAAATCTTCCGGCAGGCTCTCCAATCTTGCACATCCGTACAGGTCCAGACTCTTCAGCCGGGTCAGCTGCGCGAAGTTTTCAGGAAACGAGCGAATGCCAGTGTTTTCAACGCTCAACTTGTTCAGGCAGGCGAGCTGGGTGAATGAAGCAGGGAGATTCTCCAGGGCTGAGCAGTCTGAGAGATCCAGCTTCCGTAGCCTGGATAGCGCACCAATGCTGGCGGGAAGGGAAGTGAGCTTGGGTGCGTGAACGTCCAAGGAGGTCAGATGGCGAAGCTGAGAGATTGTTTCTGGCAGCAGTTTCAACTCTGGAGCATTCGCTATCTGCAAGTGCCGAAGCCGCTTCAGGTCCGAGCCGATGCTTCCTGGAAGCTTCTCGATGTTACCAGCCCTAGAGATCACCAGAATCCGCAGCTGAGGGAGAGAAGCCAAGGGGAATGAGAGCTCCTCTGCATCTTCCGCCAGCACCAACTCCAGATGCTCTAACTGGGGGAAAGCACTGTGGACAGTCACACCACCTTCCCCACCCTCCACATCGACCACATTCAAAGTCAGCTTCTTGAGATTCGGCAGCACAGGGAGCTCTGGCAGATGCAGGGTATAATTGTAGCTCCCCAGGCTAAGGGACTCGAGAGAGGAAGGGAGCGAGATGGGTGGCCCGTTCAGCCATACAGCAGGGTGACACCCGATTATCTCCAGGCGTTTGAGCTTGAAAAGGCCATCTAGCTTCTTGGGCAGTGACACGAGCTGGCTGCACAACCCAATTGTGAGGGTATCCAAATTGGTCAGCCCTGTCACGGAATCTGGAATCTCTTTGAGATTGAAACAGCACTGGATGTGAAGTTGGCGCAGCTGATTCAGCTTCCCAATGCCCTCGGGAAGCTTCTCGTCGGAAATGAAATCCAGGTCAACCCGAGTCAACGAAGTCAACCCAGTGAGTGAACCCGGGAGCTGCAGCCGATTGAACACTTCTCCCTCATAAATTCTCTGGATGGCAGCCATCCCCCCCAATCCCACTGGAAGCTTCAGTATTGGCTGCTTCACCATGCACAGCGACTTGAGAGCTCCTAGGCGGTCGAAATTCGCAGGAAGCTGCTGAATCTCGCAGCAAGAAACCATGAGCAGGGTCTTCAGGGAGGTGAGGGAAGAGAAGGATTCTGGGAGTTCCGTGATAGGAAGCCTGCACATTGTGATTCTTTCGAGAGATCTGAGACGCCCAAACGAATCGGGGAGGTTGGTCAGGGCCAGCATACGCAGGAACAAAGTTTTCAGGGCAGGCAACCGACCGAAATTGTCGGGCAGGCTGGAAAAGCTGAGGCATGAGGAGACTGTCAGGCTCTCCAACCGGGTCAGAGACGTAAAATCTTCAGGCAGCCCGGTGAGTCCTGAGCACCATCGCAGGGTCAGCTCGCGGAGACAAGGCAAAACCTCGCCAATGTCATTCGGAAGTCGGTCCAAGTCGCAATTCGCAATCACCAGCCGTTCCAGCCTGAAGCACGGCACTTCCGAGGGAAAGAATTGGCTGAAAAAAAAGCCATCGCCCTCGAATTGCAGAGACGTTAGGAACTGCAGACGTGAAGCGGAAAAGCTCGCGGTAGGCTCGTCAACGCAATTGATTGCAACATCGGTAAGTTTCGGAAGCTGAATGAGATTCACGAGATGCTGATACTCCAAGTCCTGGGACGTTATGCGAATCGACGTGAGAGACGAGAGGTGCGAGAACCCGGGATCCGCCAGCGCTGTCGCGTCCGGGAGAACGAGAATGCGAAGCCGCGAAAGCTGGAAGAACGAAGCCGGAAATACGACGTTCGGGTGAAGGCAATCCAGCGACAGCACCTCCAGTTGCTTGCACTGCCGAAAGAGCCGATCCAAGCCAGCTTCGGTGACCGGGTGTAAGTGCTTCCGGTCATCGTTTTCCGGATCTCCGATGATCTTGCTTCCCACGTGGAAAACCGTCAGCTTAGGGCAAGAAGAGCCGAGGTGAGAGAGGAAGGCGTCATCTAGGGTTTCCACGCTGCCGTCGCACAAATGCAGGTGGGTCAGGTTCGGGAAGCATGAGACAGCGTTGGCGAGGTCTTGGCGGGAAACGACGAGATTCTTCCTGACGAGAAGTGTCGAGACGTAACGCTGGGAGAGACGGCGCCAGCGACGGCAGATCGAAGCGATGAGGAGACTAAGAACTGCGTCGGTGAAGGCAGGAGGAGTCGGCGCGAGTGAGTTTTGTTCGCTATTGCTTGAGATCTTTGGTGCAGCTTCAGTCCAGAAGTATTTCTGCCTCGGATACAAAGAGTCGCATGCAGCATTGTCGTGTGCAGCATCGTCGCATGACGCATCATCGAATGCTGCATCAGTATCGACGATAGGAGACAGTGGCATTTTGCAGGTATGACATAGAATCTTGAGTAATAGGTCGTCAGTTAGTCGGTTGAAATGTGAGCCAGACTCCATGTGTGAACTCGAACTACAGCGACAGAAGGTTGAGAAACTCGCTGGATAATTGGAAAACGGGGACTAAAGTCTTGTGAAACAATCTAAGAGAATGGCTGCCTGACACCTTGCTATGTAAGGAAACTCAGGAAACGAAGTCACGATTCTAGAAGGATCTGTGAAGAGCGTGGTGCTTGCTGGGGAACTGATGAGGCTTGGTTTGTGTACGTGAGAAGAGAGTCGATCCGTCAGTCACCTGCCAAAAAGCGTTTGAAGGGAATGTTTGTCCGTCTAAAATCACCATTCACAAAATCACGATTCACTCACCACGACCCCCGTTCTTGTCCTCCTGTCGGCGGGAAAACATGGCCAGCCCAGCCAATCGATGTGGGTTTGGATGACTTCTGTCAGGACTCAGCAGGTTGCGTGCTAGCGCGCTAAGATCCGAGGATCTTGTAACAACGGGGTGTAGCAAAAAATCGGGCTGGGCCCTAAGGACGCGTCACAATTGCAACACCGGGGGAGATCGGCACCAAACACCGAGAATGTGAGCATCGACTTGCGAAAAACTTGTTTCAATCTGCAGGAGCAGTTTTGGCTGCTTCCCCGAGCCAAGTGGGACATGACCGGGTTTGCAACTGTACACCCAGCCGCTAGCTCAGGAGCCGTGCGAGTCGCACAATTTCGCATGGCTTGTGACGAGCTAGA